TTAATTTATATATTTTTTGTAATATTTATTTTTTTATTTATTTTTTTTTATGAAATATTTACTTATATACAAACATACATGACATGACATGACTTAATTAGCATGTTCATTGACAACTGAGAACCGAGAAATGAGAACTGAGAACTGATAGCTGATAGCTGATAAGTGAGAAGTGAAAAGTGTTAATTCTGTATGTGAATAGCGAATGCACTGTGTGCTGGCTTCGGCTTGAGCTATTTTATTGTAATTGCTTTGATTTGGTGCTGTGAGTGACTTTGGTTTCATTTTAGGGCTCCACTTGTGCGCTGACCGAGTCGATATTGCGGCAGTATGGAGCTCGGACGGGCTTCTACAGTTCGCCCCATTTGGTGTCCACGAACGAGCGCATACGGATCAATGGCGAGCCGCTGGCCAAGGCGAAGTTCACGCATTTCTTCCGGCTGGTCTACGATCGTCTGCTGTACGGGCGGGAGCATGACCGGGATATGCCGGCGTTCTTTATGTTCCTGACCATAGTCGGGTTCCATGTGTTCATCGCGGAGCGTGTGGATGTGGTGGTGCTGGAGGTGGGCATCGGCGGGGAGCTCGACTGCACGAACATTTTGCGCAATGTGCGCACGGCGGGCATCACATCCCTGTCCCTGGAGCATACGCAAGTGCTGGGCAACACCATCAAGGAGATCGCCTGGCAGAAGGCGGGCATCATCAAGCCGGGCGCCCACGTCTATACGCACGTGACGCAGCCGGAGTGCCTGCAGGTGATACGCGAACGGGCAGCCGAAAAGCACGCCCAGCTCTTCGAGGTGCCCCAGGCCGAAGAGCTATTCGCCCTCAACCAGCGCTCCGACTACCTGAACAGCTGCAACGACTATGTTCGACTCAATGGCTGCCTGGCCATCGCGCTGGCCTACGACTGGCTGCGCCAGTCAACGGGTCGACTGCATCGCGACTATCCCCTCAACTGGCTGCAGCTCACCGACGAGGTGCTCCACGGCATCAACCAGGCCAATTGGCCAGGTCGCTGCCAGCTGGTCAACTACGAGAATATGCGCATCCATCTCGACGGAGCTCACACAGTGGAGAGCATACGCGTCTGCTGCAACTGGTATCAGAAGAGCACCAAATCAAGGTAGGCCATATAGATCATAGAGGAAATTATGGATGACATCAGAGGTAGTTGATATGTATACAGTGTGGGGCATAGACTATCCATACTTTATATACTATCTGTTCTGGATATGCCTTATCATACCATCTATCTATATACAGTAAAATCCGGTTATAACGACACTCAATGGACCGTCGTTATACTAGAAGTCGCTATAACCGTATAAGTTTGCTCATAGAAGTTCGTCTGGGAGCCAGAATTTTCGTTGCTATAACCGTACAGACGCTATAAGCGGAGTCGTTATAACCGAATTCTACTGTATTTGCTTAAGCCCTATTTTGGACTCAGACCATCTGTACTATCCATGTCCTCTACCATCTATTCTCTACCAACTATCTACTATAGCTATGTATCCGTTCCGTCTATAAATCTATTCACCCTTACAATCCTATTTTAACTATCCCTGTTACCTACCTTATCCATACTATGCTATGCTATCTTATACTATCGACACCAGTCATACCATCTATAGAGGCTATACTATCTCTATATCTACTATCCACACGGTCTATTCCATCCCATGCCTTATTTACTATCCATACTACATCTATCTATCTTTCTTATCCGTACTATCCATGCTAGTCCTACTATCTACACCATTCCATTTACGCTACAATGTCTAAATTATCTGCACCAATAATGCTGTTAGTACGATCTGCCCATACTATTTCTTCTATCTACACCATCTATAGACAGTTCTCTATAATGATCTTTCTCTATTTGCAGTCGCAATCCAAGTATCTTGGTCTTTAATCGTACTGGCGATACGGATACAAAGGCCCTGCTGCAGGTGCTGCAGCAGTCGTGTAGGTTCGATATGGTCTGCTTTGTGCCGAATTTGTCCAGTGCCAAGGCCAATGATCCCAACCAGACTAGCGTCTGCTACAGTGATGAGGCGCAGCGGGAGCGAGCCAGCCTGATCGCCGCCACCTGGCAGAAGCTGTGCGATGCTAATAAGCAGGTCAACCGTGGACGAATGTATAATACGGTCTGGGATGCTTTCGTTGAGATGCGCACACGTTATCCGGCCCATATTGAGCTGGATGTGCTTATCACGGGATCCATTCATTTGTTGGGTGCTGCCATTTTGATGCTGGACGATTTCCATTCGGAGTCGAAGGCAACAAATGGCAGCACCTGAGTGAGAACACCTGAGTTGCACTGTAATTGAAAGCTATGTTTCTCTAGATTATAGACTAGATATTTAATCCAAGATAGTATAAATTTCTTTTTGTAAACATTTCCCCATAGGACTTGAAATCCGAGTTTATAACTCATTTGGCCATTAATGAAAAATTTCATCCAATCTGTAACACTAAGGCACAATCCCAGTTTTCCCTATAACGAAATTATATGCTGTACATAGCGAACGAATATACAATACAACAATAAATGACAAATATTTATTTGGTTTACTTGTGCTTTGAATTGCTAAACAGGTGGTATTCGAAAGGTGAGCCATGCACATGCAGTTGAACAAATGTTCCACTTAAATTAAAACATTGTTTGATAGACGAATCTGATGTATCAATTCTCTTCCTTTGAATCTCACCCAATACCAAACCGTCGGCAATGCCCATTTGGACTAAGCACGTTAAAAAAATATATATATTTAAAAAGAATCACCGACACCGACGGCAAAGCGCATTTGCGATGCGGACGTTAATTTCACGGCAGGCAACACTGGCTGAATGTGCGGCTGGCACCTGAGTGCGAGCTGCAGCAGGCTGTTCTGCTGTCAGCTGCCTGCGACAGGGTTGTTTGAGCAATGCCCGTCGACCAATCAGCGACGGCGGCAGCGATGACTGTGCGAGTGAGCCAGCTAGCTTGCTGTGCTGTCAATCGCTGCGCTCTGTGTGTTTGTAAAAACAAAATGGCTAACGCGTAACGGAAGCAGGACTTGGCGTTGGGGGCGAGCGAGATGGCAGCATAGTTGACTGATTAAATCACAGCTAAATGAGATGTTAACATGCCAGGCGAGTTGTCTGATGGAGCGACGGCGGGGGCGTGGGCGGGGACGGGGACGGGGTCGGGATTGGTGGTTGGGCGGCTGCCATTGCCGACTTGTGGGCGCTGCGACTGCCGGCTGTGCACGCTAAACTGTGCCGTTTACAGCAACAAATCGTGTAATTCACTTTTTTTCTAGTCGCTGTGTGTCTGTGTGTGTGCGCGCGCGTCTGTGTGTGTATGTGTGTGAGAGCCTTGCGCTGCGCTAAAAGGATTAATAAACGTTCACATTTCAGTTGTTCATTTGACTCTGCGCTTAACGGTTCAGCTGCCAGCGTTGCCAGAAATTTAATTAAACCCAACTACATAAACAACAAATATGCAGAGCTTCAAATAAGTGAAAGCTGCTCAGCGCCTGCCGACGGAATTCCTGTTTAAACAAAGCAAACAAGATTTTTTTTTTAAATATTTGTTTTAAAGTGTTGTGTCAAAATAAACGATAAAATATCTCAAAAAGCAAAACGCAATGATAAGTGTACAGCTTTGAGCTATCTTAAACAATTTTGAAAATTTGTGTATTTAGTTCAAAGTTCAAAGTGCCCAAGCTTCAAGATGCAAAGTTCAAAATCGTTTCTAATACGCGATCTACTGGGTGACCTAATCAACCGGCGACAAACGGATTCCGGTAAGCGAATTTACAATTGGAAATTTTGGGGCTTTCTATCTTCCTGACTATATCGTCTCACTCTCTCTCTCTCTTTCACTCTCTCTCTCGTGGATATTTTTTTAATCTTATTGCAATGGGTTGAAATGATTAACTATCTCTAATGGTTATAACCTCAATCTTCTATCTTTTACCTATCCTCTATTTTCTTTCTTCTATCTTCTGTCTTCCTTTTCCTATCCTCCATCTTTCATCTTCTGAATTCCATCTTCTGATGAATATCTTATATCTTCAATCTCATATCACCTATCACCTGCATACACACACACACACACACACGCAAGCTGAAAGCAATTAGCTACTAAATAGTTGTAATTGTTGAGCTAAACTTTATTTAATGTCATGCATAATTAGAGAACAAATGCAAACAGAGAAACACAAAGCTCAAGTCATATAAATGCGAGAGCACCTGAGGCGGTTTGATACCCTGGAATACCCATATGGAAGGGTATATTGACTAAGGATCACAGATGTAAATGGTTTTGATTTGACTTTTGCGATATTTAGAATCTATAAGCTGTCGTCTATCTGTAGATCTCTGTATCTCTTTCTGCACTTCCTGGCCCTTGCGCCCTTCTCTCTCACTCTCTCTCTCTCTAACTTGTATATCATCTCTCTTCTCACTCGCTCTGACTTTTCGCTTTCCTTTTTATTTCTTCACTAATCTCTCTTTTCCTCACTGTTTCCTTTCTTTATTTCTTTCTCATTTCTCATCCTCCCACTCTTTCTCTCTCTCGCTTCGCACTCATTCTCTGCCTCTTACTCACTTATAGTCTTTTTTATTTCTCCCACTGTCCCTCAGTTTTACTGTGCCTCTATCAAACTTTCTCGGTCTCTCACATTTTTTCTCATTCTCATTCTCTCTCTATCTCTTTCTCTTTTACTAGGGTCCATTTCCATAGCATACTTCTATGCAGATTCTAGGGTGTCTATTAGCCGTGTACAATCTACGTTTAGTCTTTTGTTTGGTGTTAAGCATTTGCATAGCATTGTTTTCACATTCTTCTTCTTTTCGTTGTTGTCATTGTTGTTGCTGGCTGATTCCGGGGCTAAACAATCAAAGTTGTTGTACGTGACAAATTGCTCGAGCGCGAGTTACGAGCACAGCAACAACCACAACAACAACATCGCCAACAACAACAGCAGCAACAACAAATTAAATTATTGCCTCGAGCAATTGTTGCTTCAACCGTATGCACACGCCTCACTGCACCACCCAACCCAACCCAACCCGCTCACCCAACGCCTTAGCCCTGTAGCCCTTCGCCCTCTCAATTTTGTTGCTAAAAGTTTTGTTGTCGTTTCTAATTGTGGCGAGGTGTGAGATTTAAATGCCAGCGGCCAATTGCTCAGCGGTTTGACACAGAGAAGTATGTGTGGGTGGTTGGGTGGTGCATGTAAAGTGCCAGCTAATTGGCCGCCACACAGCAGAGTACTGCGAGACAATTAAGAAATAGGCAAGCTAAGGCGCAACGAGCAGAGATTGAGACTGGAGCGCTCTCTCGCTGAGGCCCAAGCTCAAGCCTGAGCTAGAAGCTAGCCTGGCTCGAGATTAAGCTGAAGCTTAGATTAAGCTGAATCCCAAGAATAACACGAGTTGTTCCAAGCACAAGCTCAATCATGCTCAAGCCTTGAATCAGATGCCTTAAGTCTAATCCTGAGCCCCAAACCTGTAAATCAAGCCTGTAAATCAAACCCAAGCTGCAGTCGAAGCTAAAGCTGAAACCCATCTACAGCTCTAAATTCAAGCCCGAGTTGAGCTGAAAGTAAGACTGAGGCTTCATAGTGTAAGCTATAAGTAACTCCAATGCCAAGAATCAAAAGCGAAGTTAGTTCCAGACGAAGCTAAAGCCAAAGTCCATGTCTATATCCATATTGAAGCTCAAGTCGAAGCTGAGGCTCAATCTGACGATGGTCTTTAAGCTCAAGCTCAATTCGAACCTGAGGTTTAAGAATCCTTTTCCCTGCTTCTTATAGAACTAGGTGTGGTCAATACCTAACAAGATATTCCGTCTCTTCGACTGTCCGTCCTTCGAAGTGCCGTGATTACCAGCTTGCCCTGATACGATTTAGGTCTGTCCCTCCTAAGACATCTGGCTCCGGCAAGAACTGTTTTTCCATTCCTTCCTCTCCTAGCATGATCCCATCAAAGAGTTGAAGACTTCAAATACTATGCAAAGCTCTTACTGTCGCACTTACAATTCAGGTATGGCTCTACAATAATAATCGCTAAGTTTCGATAGCATGAAATCGATAATAGGCTTGAGCTAATGTGTTATAGATGTCATAAATAGGTCATAGATAAATCATAGATGCAAAGAGCTAGCGTACTAAATGTAAGTGTGAGTTTAGTGGGTATCTACAAGTCGAGCACTCTAGCTTCTCTGGGTATTCGCTAGGAACTTCTGCAGATAAATTTGCTTTGCTTTAGGTTGACATGAAATCATCATGTGAAAACTCGACTAAATATCGCTTACTCTCTCCATATATGAATATTATAGATGTATGTATTTATATATGTATATATGACTTGTTTCTCGGAGTTGAAGTACCCATTAAATGGCAATTGTGCCGCAAATTGATACGACGTGACTTTTGATCGAAAATCTAAAAAGAACTCACTTGAGACGAGCCACACACGCTGCTTCACACACCCACACCCACACACACACACACACACACACACACGTGCATAATTGAATCATCATTCACATGTTTTATGCTCTCTTCCTTCCTTCCTCGCCCACTCTCTCTCTCTCTCTATCTCCCTTTCTTTCTATCTTAGTTGTTGTCGAAGTCAAAAAGCATTTGGGGTTAAAATATAAAAATAATTTCCGCAGCGCAAATATGATATATATTTGCTATATATACGTATATAGTATGTGCATATATCTATATAAAAATCAAGTAGAATCCTTGCTGGGCACACGTGAACAGGCTCTGCCGTTGCTGCAGCCGCCTCCTGCTGGTGGTTGTTTTTTTTTGTTTTTTTTTTTTCTGCTTTCGTCTTTGACCGTAAATTCCAATAGGAAGGAAACATTTGAGCATCTCGAGCAAAAGCACGTGAATTTAATCAGGCTGCCCCGCAGCGCAGCTGGCATGGTGTACATATATATAGAAAGAATATATATAATCTATATAGGGATATGCGCATCGGATATAAATAACATCTTGATTGAGTCAATGGGCACAAATTTCATGCGCGTTCTCCCGTCCCCCCGCCACTTGTCTTGCCTTCATTTCTTAATGGACACGAACGAACGCCCACTTAATGCCACGCCCCCACTTCGCACAGCTTGCGTTGTCTTTGCGTCCTGTGGTCGCAGCTGGATGGTAATGAGTCCAGCCATCGGTTATCCACAGCCTGACCAAAGTGCCTGCACGCGCTCATCTCTCGAGACTTGGAAGCTCTTAACCTCTCAGGTTCTCCCTCAGCCTCAGCGTCAGCCTGACAGCATCTCTTTGCTCAATCTCTCAGCCTCTTTGACTCTTGCAGCGGAGAACGCATTAACGACACGCTGCGCTTAAAAGCATGCTACATTCTATCTATAGAATTCTTGATCTCGTGTTGGGCTTTGAGAATGAGAATGGTCTGATACTCGATAAATAATTGAGCTAATGCTAGAGGGGAAGAGAGAGAGATTGGGAAATTATATGAGGCAGAGAGAAAGGGGGAGATAAAGTAAAAGAGACATATGAGAGGGGTTAGGAGAGAAAGACATAGGGGGAAACAGAGAGAGAGAGAGAGAGAGAGAGAGAGAGAGATAGACTGAGAGAAACACATAGAAGGTGACATAGAGAAAGAGGATGGCAGAGACTGAGAGAGTAAAAGAGAGACAGAGAGAGAGAGAGAGCAAAACACATACAGAGAGGGAGACAGAGACAGAGACAGAGAGAGAGAGAGAGGGGGGGGGAGGGATAGACTGGAAGAAAGATATAGATGGTGACAGAGAGAGAGAGAGAGAGGGTAAGAAAGACTGAGAAAGAGCGATAGAGATGGGGTGGTAGAGACTGGGAGAATGAAAGAGAGACAGAGAGAGAGAGAGAGAGACAAAAAGAGAAACACACAGAGAGGGGAGACAAAGAGAGAGACAGAGAGAGAGAGAGACAAAGAGAGAGAGACAGAGAGAGAGAGAAACACACAGAGAGAAGGAGACAGAAAGAGATCGAGAAAATGATAAGGAATGAGAGAGAGAGAGAGAGAGAGAGAGCGACAGTAGAGTTATTCTGAGACTGGCTGAGAGAAAAGATTTACAAGACTTTTATCATTGCCCTTGAATAGTTCTTATGAAGCATAGGTAATCCCTTCGGTTTTTTTACATCTCGCTCCGACAGAGATCGAATTGTCTAACGATGACTCGGACATTGATATTGAGGATCGCTCGACGCCTGACTCGACGGCGCATGGCTGCCAGCAGGATTTGCTGCTGTCGCATCACTATAACCACAACGAGGAGTCGAGCGTGGGTTCCTGCGGCACGGTTACACCGGGACCGGGCTCTGGTTCCGGCGCCGGCTTAAGCGCCGCTGCTGCTGCAGCTGGCATGGCGGCGGGCCTACTGGCTGCCGCTGCTGTGGGCGGTGGCTCCGGAGCAGCAGGCGGTGCCGGCTCAGGCGGCGACAATGCCGTGGGCGGCGGCAGCTATGCCGAGCACAAGCTGCAGTTGAGCAAGAGCGGACGCAAGCCGCGCCGTCGACGCACAGCGTTCACGCACGCGCAGCTGGCGTACTTGGAGCGCAAGTTTCGCTGCCAGAAGTATCTGAGCGTCGCCGATCGCAGCGATGTGGCCGAGACGCTGAGCCTGTCCGAGACGCAGGTGAAGACCTGGTACCAGAATCGACGGTAAGTTGCCAAAATGTAAGAGCTCATTAGTGTATTTTTATCATTTTTAATATCTGTATATCTTCAGTTCATGGAAATTTGAGTTTGATATAATTTTTAAATTTGAATTGAATTTTCTGTTTGCGCTTATAAGTAGACTACACTTTCTTCACACTCTTGGAAGCTCCATCACGATGGACAGGCAGCTCGTTGCTATGTAACTAATGTTAAACTGTCTCTCTCTCTCTCTCTCGCTCTCTTGGCAGCACTAAGTGGAAGCGACAGAATCAGCTGCGCCTGGAGCAGCTGCGCCATCAGGCCACCCTAGAGAAGGACTTTGCGGTGCAGGAGAATGGCGGCGGCAATGCGCTCGGCTGCTGTCCCAGCGGCTTGTCCAGCTCGTTCAGTGCCGCCGCCGCCGCCGCTGCTGCCGCTGCCGCTGGCAATCCGTGCAACTTCTTGACCTCGGCCGCCGCGGCTGCCATATTCCGCAACGTCAGCTACGTGCACGGCTGCCCCATGTAGAGGAGCGGCATGCCCCAAGACATTTGCCAATACCAACTCCAACCAGAGTCCAACCGAATTCCACGTTTGCCTGTGTAAATATGATGATGATGATGTTAAGGAGGATGATGATGATAATGATGATCAGAATGAATTTGTTTTCTTTTGTGCAATACGAATTTTTATTTCTAACTAAATGTCTACTTCAGTGCGTAATCGAATTATCGATCTATCGCATTTATCGATAAGTGTATAAGAATATCCCAATTCCCCTCACGTCTGCTCTTATCAGTAAACCCTAGGCTTAGTCAAATTAACTGTAATATATACTCGCACGCTCACACACACTTAAACACACTCGTATGTAACGGTAATAACAATTGTGAACTTTGTGCACTCGATAAACGATACTTTTTTTTTTTTTTGTGAAAAATAAAAATTGAATTGCATATTTGATGAAAAAATACACTAAACCAAAAATGTTCGTTATAAAATTGCTTAACTGTGATTTTTTTTTTTTTTTTTGGGTGAATATATTGAGAAATTATATACGAGATATATTCAGAGAGTAATACGAGTTGCAGAGGTCCAGGAAGGGAGGACGTTACGCTTCGTATGCATAGATAAAATCAACATAGAACAAAATTTTATTTGTGAATGGGGATTATTTTGAAAATAAATTGTAACTTTAATTAAAATCAAATAACAATTATTGCGGTATTTTTTGAACAGCCCTCTTATATCTCAAGTTTCTGAACTGCTGAATTCATTAGAAAATATTAAATATAAATATAAACATATACGATAAGTAAATGTATATTTACTTAAGAGGCATTTACTTCAATATGTTTCACATTTAATAGTGTAAACAATATTCAATTACGAAATCAGGAGGGAATAATCTCGCTTGTGAAATAATTCTATTCGATTTGAAGTCTCGTCAGAAAAACTATCAATAACAACTTTTGATATATCTTTAGATGCAATCATTTACCGTTTGGTTTTTTTCTCTTCTTGTGGCAGCTGCAAGTAAACGCTGCAAGCTGCATTTCCGATTGTGCAGAGCATCGAGACCCATGCTTAAAAATCAACTTGAGCGAATGATACAAAACGATATCAATTTGTCGCTATATAGTAGTAAATGGCATGCTATGTGCATGCAGCCAATACATACATGTATATGTGCTGCGAGTATGTATGTGTGTGTGTGTGTAAAAGTTAGATTGGGCTGAGGCGGGTGGCGTAGCAGCCAACCGGAAAACAAGCAACAACACTGCATGCAATTAAAACGGGCCACAAAACGGGCCGCAAAAGAGCTTGCGCATATGCCGAGCGCACGGGCGAGAGCGAGACAGCAGTAGTGACAGTGAGCATAAGCTGGCTGTGGCTGGGCTGAGCCTTGAGCAGCGGCGTTGCGTCGCAGTCGACTTTTGTGGTTAGATTTTCATGCACATTTAGCTCGCTATGATGATGGGGGGCCACAGCACAAAAAGGACGAGAAATGTTTAGCCACAAATTGAATCTGCGGCGAGTCAGTTAACAAGCAGCGCGCCGGCCCCAGCGAGTGCGAGCGAGATGCACTGACATGGATGCAGGCCTCAGAGCAGCAGGCACTAGACGAGTGCAGAGAGAGCGAGATGGAGGGAGAGAGACACTGAGAGATAGAGCGGGAGCGGCGAGGGAGGGGAGCAAGCGGAGCTGTAGTCATAGTTCGAGTGGCCGCAACGGAAGCAGCGCAGCAGCAGCGCAGAACGCTAATTAAAAAGGCACTTGAACTGGATGCGACGACGACGACGACGACGGCGTTGGCGATGGTGAAAAAAAAAAGAAGCAAACTAAAAAGTGAGAAGAAGGAGTGAGAGAGAAACAAGTTAACTTTGCCGTTGTAGCGTCGCTGCATTACAGTTATCCATGAAATTGTCTATGAAATGTGAATGTAATTAAATGAATAAAATGCAAGCAGACTTCAACCGCTGCGCCCCCTCGCCCCTTCGCCCCCTTGGCCCCCTTGGCTCGCTCTGCATTCAGTTTCGTTTGCCTTTGCGAATTCATTTTTGTTTGCGGTTCATTTGCGCAGCCATTGAAAACTCAATTGCATTTTTTAATTGGTACATTTTATGTCTGCCATCCTTTGAGTGGCAAAGGAACTCACAAAGGCTCGCAGTGCTCAGCAGTGGCTGCCACTTTGATTTGTATTTATTTAATGAGTTATTAATTGCATTAAGCTTTGATTACAATTGCACAAACGCAGACGCAACTCCCAACTAGAGCTGAAAAGAGCGCACCGAAAGGTAATCAGATATGGTCAAAGGCAAGAGTGCAAAGGCCATGCCCAAAGTTGCCTTTTTATACCCTGAACCCATTTTCAATGGGAAATCAGGGTATAATGGTTTTGTTGAAATGTATGTAACAGGGAGAAGGAGGCGTGGCAGACCCCACAAAGTATATATATTCTTGATCAGGGTGACGAGCTGAGTTGATTTGGCCCTGTCCGTCTGTCTGTCCGTCTGTCCGTCTGTCCGTCTGTCCGTATGTATGAACGCGTCGATTTCAGAAGATATAAGAGCTAGAGACTTCAAATTTTTTTTAAAATGTCCGTAATTACAGCGCGCATATCAAGTTTATCATTAAAANCACTGCAGCCCATACGTGTTTATGCGTGGGGGCTTGTGAGTGTATGTGTATGTATGTGTTTGTGTATGTGTGTGTGCATGTGTATGTGTATGTATGTGTTTGTGTATGTGTGTGTGCATGTGAGTGTGTGTATGCGTTTGTGTCTGTATGCGTGTGTGTGTATGTATGCCTGTGTGTGTGTGTGCGTGTTTCTTGTGTAAGCTGAAAGACGCGAAAAATTATTGAAATATCTATTGCTCCAAGGGTTCAGGGGATCTCGTAGTCGAGCAGTCTCGACTAGAGCTTTCTTACTTGTTCATATATGGATATGCATATGCATATGTATATGTATGTATTTGTATATGCAAGAGAACGCGCACCTGACTGCTATGACACTTCGCCTGACTCACTTATGCTGCCTGAGCTGCTGCAGCTGACTGATCTGTGACGCAGCTTGACTGAAGCTGACAGATATATTACTCACGCTAAGCTCGAATTGATTTCATTCAAAGCAACTTCAGATCAATTTCCCAAAAGAATGAATGCATTTAATTTCAATTAGAAAGAATATGATGAGAAAGTCTAATGCCCATAAATATATATATACGCATATGTATGTACATATATCTTATTTCCATTACAAAGCTTAATGGACAGCTGGAAATATCAGACAAACAACTTTTTCAGGTGTTTAAAAATGAGTTTCAGCCGTAGCCAAGAGGTTTTTTTGCACCTGAGCAATTTAACGATAAATGCAACACACACACAGAGACAATTAGAGCCTGCTGGTGACATCAACAGCTACAAAAACAACCACAATAATAATAATAACAACAACAACAACAACAGCAACCACCAACAGCATCGTCATAAAGACAAGTGTTCAACACGCCCCGCGGCACAAACACAATTTGCAACATTTTTCCAAACGGATAATGACAAACATTTTAATCACAAAATGAAACCGAAACCGAAACCGAATCCAAATCCGCAAAATCCACCACCGAAACGAGCAAGCAAACGGCAAACGGAGCAGGACAGCAAGAGGTGCGAGCGCAGGGCCACCAACCGAAAACACCACAGCGAAAGGTCCTGCAGACCAAATACCACTTGATGTCGCAAGTCAAGTGGGTTGTCTTTGCTTCTTCTTCCAGCGTCTTCCTCTTCGTTATGTTATTGTTGTGGTTGTTGCTGTTGCTGTTGTTGCTGCTGCTACAGTGATATGACATAATCTGTGGCATTAACAACACAACTTGAGAGCGATACAAAATGGAAATTTAACTTTAAGGAAGTCGTAAAAGCGTATGAAATAGAATATAATGTAAGACCTATGAGGAGACAGGAGAGAGAGAGAGAGACAGCGAGAGAGAGAGAGAGAGAATATAACTTAAAATCTATTGCATGTATAAGGAGAAAAGGAGAGAGAGTATATAATTTAAAATCTATTTCAAGTAAGAGGAGAAGAGAGAGAGAGAGAGAGAGAGAGAGGAGAGTGAAGGCGAGACAGAGTACAGAGAGAGAAAAGGAGAGAGAGTATATAATTTAAAATCTATTTCAAGTAAGAGGAGAAGAGAGAGAGTGAGAGAGAGAGAGAGAGAGGAGAGTGAAGGCGAGAGAGAGTACAGAGATAGAGAACGGTAGACAGTGAGTAAGAAAGAGAGAGATAATGCTAATGAAAGCTCTAATGATAATGGCGATGGTAATGCAATTGTCAATGAGGACCATAATGATATTTTTATTGAAAATGCCTATCGAAATTCTAATTCCAATGACAATTTCAATGATAATGCTAATGCTATATATGCATAATTATATTATAATAACAATTAAAATTCGAATGACAGCAATGATGATAATAATGGTGTTTCTCTCTCTCTCTCTCTCTCTCTCTCTCTCACTCTCTCTCTCTCTCTCTTTATTGCGCTTGAGGTAAGTCAAAATGCTTTCTGTAGTGACAGACATCTCATCAGTTGCCTCTGCTCTCGCTTGAATGCCCTCCCACTCTGGAACCAGGCGCTATCCTGCATAAACCTTTAAGCTGAACCTCTATCTATGTACTCCAGCTAACCCATCGGATCTAGTATCGGATATAGTATCATAAACATGATTCTAGTGTAGTCGATTATACCCAGTTATCGATGCCCATATAGGTTGATCTGGCTAATATGCCGATATTCCTAGATAAAATCGACTTTACTAAAAACCAAATCAGTTTTCTTCCAAATCTCTCAAAGACTTACGACTTACTAGTTGTTGGCACTAARGGAGTATCTATAGAAGAACATGCACGCGGCACGAGGCAAAACAAAGACAGACAGTGTGAGGGAGAGAGGGAGGGAGGGCTATCTACGATCTATGGAGTGCGAAACAAACGCAGAGCTCCGAACGAGCAACTTGTTCGACGTTGATTTTAGGCCCGATCTAATTTCTAATCAGTTGATCATTGTGCGTAGAAGCGATCGCAGCTAACCGGACTGAACGTCGTCGTCGAAGTCGTCAAGTGTTTTAGAGTTGGGATATCCGATAACAAGAACTGAATCGCACAATGGAGCCGTAAGTAGTCGGCTAGCATGTTTGATATTTATTCTCAGAAAATATCTCTATATGTGTATCAATTTATACACACATAGGTGTACATTTATATTAATACAAATACATAGATATATGTATATATAAATTGATTGATACGGGTATGGCTATTCATCACATTATTAATGCTGTTCGTTTGTAGCTGAGGCGTATTCGGATATAGTACTTGAATGTGGTATATGCTATGGGTTTAGGTTGTAGGCTAGTCGTCCTGATCGTCCTGCTCCACTCCTTCGACTAGCTCCGGTATTTCCTTCTTGATGCGAGACAAAGCTTTTATCATGGAAGTCAACTGTATTCCAACCTAAAATGTAGATGTGCGCATATATGTGTGTGATTGATTGATTGATTGATTGATTGGGTTCAGTCTCTGCTCACCAGATTAGTCAATTGGTCTTCGGGATGGACCTGACAAATTACATTGCCTGCCCAGCCGAGCATGGAGTCAATATCGACGTGACGCATCTTAAAGAAGTGATCCGGATAGCCGGCCTCCTTGAGCTGTTCATTGTTGGTGAGCACCACCAGCTGAAAGATGCGATTGACCGACTCCAATAGCACACTCAGCTCGCCCAACTGGATGGTGTTCATTTCGGCGATGTCAAACAGCACCTCCGTTCCTATTGCCTCGGCCAGCTCCTTGAAATCGTGAAAGCGATGCATTGAAATATCCATGGTCAGGATGCGCCCAATCACCGCCCAGAGCATGCACACGCCGACCGGCAAGGCATCCTCATTGGCACGCATTAGGGCCAGAGCCAGGTGAAGCTGATTCACCTCGATGCAGGCGCCCACTCTCCTCAGCTCATCCAGCAAATAGTCGACATGGCAATGCACCTGCGTGACGAGCAGCAAGGATTAACTCAATGAAGATCTACCGCCCCTTGGCCCAACCTACGCTCAATGGATGCGTGGTATCCATCATGCCCAGCACACGATGGATCAGGCCACGCATATTCTTACTCATCTCGACTGGGCCAGCACACAGGAACACCATGGAAACAGTGACAAACAGAGCACGCAGATTGTCGTCATCCCAGTCGCGCTCCGATTTGCGCACCGCCTCCAAGCCATTGACAATCTAGTTGGGAGTTGAGCTGAGAGTCAAATCAAATCGAATCGAAGCTCTCACTTGTCGCTCACCTCGTCCAGATCATTGGTCATATGGATAATCAGACACTTGGCGGCCAATGGGCTGTTCACGACCCAAGTGCGTAGTTGCTCCAGAGTACAAAATGTCTTGGACCTCGGCTTTGATGTGCTCGGCCCAGCGGCCTTCCCCTTGTTTGGCTCCATATCTCGACTCAAAGTGACTTAATGCAGGCAAACAGCGATATGCCAACTGTAAGAGAGAAGAGAGAGCTAGAATAGAGGCCAGAATTGTTTATCAATGATCAATTATCAATGCATATAGGTTAGAAAATCGAGGCTTCTCACTTTTCATATTGCATTTTTTACACAGATGTCAATGGCTGGGGGTTACTAAAGTCTTTTATTCCTGTATCCCATTTCATGAGAGCATGCACCTCAACTTAATTATGTAGCAGTCTAAATTTATCGATAAGTTATCGAAAAGTAATGCTTATCCTGATGAGTTGTTATTTCACAATTTCGAATAACTTGAAGCTCAGCAACTTTTTAGACTATCTCAACATACAAGTTACCACCACATTCTATTTTCGATAAATTATCGATACACATAAACAACCATTAGCTTGCTTTTTGTTCCCTTACATTGCTTACATTCTCTTTTCCATCAAGTTTTGTCATTTATGATCACTTTTTCCCTTCATCAAGTTATCGATAAGTAATAATTATCACTAGACTCATGTTATATATTCTCAAACTCCATACTTCTGAGTCGTACCCCAAAAATCAAGTTTGACCTTTAACATTCAAGACATTTTCTGATTTCGATTTGTTATCGATAAACAATCATTGTGCTTTGCTTAGCAGGGTTTGTCACAGACTTTGTGTTAAATTCTCGAGAATTGCCTCAGCTCCAATTTCATTGTTTATCCTAGTCATTGCGTATGTTTAGCAATTCCGATAACTTTAGAAGTCGATTATCAATTACAGTTGTATACTAAACTATTTTTCATAGTCCAACATATAAGATTCTTTTCCGTTAGGCTTCAATGAGTTTTGAGTGACAAGAGCTCTGCCCAACCCGCCTACCCCTATAACTACCCCACCCATAATACGTAAACACATCAAAGATATCGATTTAATAGAGACTTTGTCTATGTTTATGACAAATGTTATGAGAACTGTCTCGCATTCCACAAGAAAAGAAACACATACATTTTGTTTAGAGCTCGACTCAACTAACTAATTGCCAATTTGGGGATACGAAATTGAACTCGCTGAGTTTTTAGCCAAGCTGCCAACCCGCGGCTCGCATTATTATTAAAAAGAGGAAAAACCGCCTACGGCAACGAGAGGAAAAAACAGTCAAAACAGTGGCAAACCCAACAAATCAACGCATAATGATATGAAAATCTGTTGGCTTTTGTATTCCGGCTGAAGTGAAGCCATTCGCCTCACCCTTAACCTCTCAACCCCAGCCTCCACCCCGCACCCACCCATTCGACCACACTCCACACATAAAAGTAGGCGAGTGTATGTCAACAATTTGTCCTAAATTAGGCGTAAAATTTACAGATTGCCCTGCTAAACAATAACAACGATCCAACCCCTAATAAAAAAATGAAATCGTAAACAAACTGACTAATAGATATCCTGTAGTGCTCTTACAAGTGAAAGTCACAGGAGCTACTATATATATATATACTCGAAATCGATTTTTATCGATATTTTTGAGATATATTTTATCTATGTTTGATATGAACTGAGTAGATTTCTGACTTATAATGAAAGATGCATAACTTATGATTCATTTATAATTCATCTTTTAGCCTATGACTCATAACTCGGAATCCCCAATACATACTTCATTATTCACAATTAAACACGAAATAAATTAAGTTCGATTCATAACCTGTATGTAACTCGCAAAGTTGAGTTAAAAGAGATAAAGAATGCTATCCCAAAATAATATCTACATTGGCTCTACAACATCCAGCTAGATCTATTAATACATACCTGATGATTCAAACATTTAATATACCCACTCACAGTATGTTTAATGAGTGTCTGGTATAAAAAAGGTTGCTAATAAAAGGGTAGTTGCTACTTATCATCAGCCTCAACCTTAACCTCGTCGACAACCACATCCTCATCCACAGCATGCTCATGATTATGAATGTTATCGTTATGATGATTGTTCAGTCACTCTCTTTTTTTTCGACACTCTTCAATTGGCTGGACAGGGTATGTTTGGAGGGGGCGAGGGGGATGGCTTTGTTCAACCCCCTTGCGCTAATTTGAGGCTTTTATGACATCTAATTGAAGTAGAAGCGAATACAGTTGGCATTGATTGCGCGACTTTGTGGTAACAGTGAAAAGAACAGGATTACAGTGTTGACTAATGCCGCACTTATGCGAAACTCTCTCACCCACTCGAGATTGTAATCGTTGGAATAATTTATACATTGTATATATATCTAAGCTGATTTGCATAATTGGCTCAAGCCAGATATATATCGTCTAGCTGCACCTTGCATAGCTCATCAAGTGCTATCTTAATTGTTCCCATGGATCTAGATCAAATCTGATTTGATCAGAGCAAAAATGTTTTTCCCATGGAAACAGGTTGAGTTAAGTTAGCTTCAGACATTGATTGGGTATTCACATACAAATTTTCAGCTGTGGAATGTTATTTTGTTAATTTTTGAAAATATTTTTAAAAATTTCCTTTCAAACACAATGAACGCGTAATTAGGAATTATAAATAATTTTAACAAAAAGTTCACCTATTAAGTCTCAAACAAAAATTAAATAGAAATTGTGACTAAGTTTTTAATTGAAAACAGTTTGAAACTAATTTAAAAAGCCGTTGAGTGTGTGTTAATTGCAATTTGAGGTTAGGCTAGATGCCAAGCACTTATAAATGCGCACACACACACGTACACACACCCACACATGTACGTGCATGTGTGAAATTTCTGCAGTTAATGCGGAAAAAGTTTGTGCGCGTTCCTTGGCCCCTTGGCTGCCTTTGTAAAATATGCATAATTAAAATATAAATATAAAGTGCACAATGTGCCGTCGTCTTGGGGCAAAAGTTGTTAATCTTTTCATGCAGCTGCATAATTAAAATCTGAATATAGAAATTCTATGAAAAATTGCGCCTCCAAATGGGCCAAATGGCAAATAACAACAACAACAACAACACTGGAAGCAGCGAAAAAGGCATAAGAAAAAACCTGCACACATACAGTGACAGACAGCAACTTAACAGTCGCTGCTCGTTAACAGTCAGCTTTGGGCCTCGCCGCTGAAGCTGCTTCTGGTGTTGTCTCTTTCTCCCTCTCGCACATTTGCGCTTTTAGCTGGCTATGTGTGTGCGAAGTAATTGCAAAATATGAATGCATAATGAGCAGATATTTCCAAGTGTGCAAAGGAAACTTCAAGCAGCAACGATGGGCGTGGACCATGGGGGGCGTCAACTTTTATGCTAAAATGTGCGAGGCGCGCGTGCATTCGCATTTTGTCAGATTCTGGCTTACAAGGACACACACATACACACCCACGTACATACATATATATGTATGTATGTAGCACAAGTATGCAAATATGCATACTGTGTATATGCTTATGCAATATTGCAGCAAGAAACTGAAAATATTTGGCCCAAGTATCTCCACTAGCACATATTCGCATAATGTGCGCATCAAACAAAGATGGCGGCAATTGAGTGCCGTCAAAAGATGTTAAGCAGAAGAGCTCATTAAAATTGCTGCCCATGTAAACAATGTTAAGTTGCCTATTAACAGAGGCGCCAACCAACATGTTCATACGAAATAATTGGAAGCCGTCACTCTACAAACATAMATATGTATGTATGTATGTAATATAAACATGCATAAATATACATATGATGTATGTATGTATGTACAATGCAATCTTAATTGCTATAATATGCTATAAAATACATTTATTGGGCTTTGCACAAGAGAATCCTCGATATCAGTTACTAAGATATAATCGATAATTAAAGCGATCATTTACTGATTGTCCATGTCTAACGATAGTCTTTCATTGCTCATTTCAAACAAACTACTCATTTGGCTCTGTCAGCCAAATGGCCAGTTTAACGGAAATGGAGTAAGCATGTAAATCTAAATAATTAACCATAAAATGAAACGTTTTTTTAGGACTTGGGCCATACGTCCGCAGGGCTTTGATATCGAGCAAGTACGCCAGGCTATGGTTAAATCGTCTCTAAATGAGAAAATCCAGTTCATTAACTCCACGGACAACGTGATTGAAGTGAGTGTGCCGACAATATGAAGGCAAATACAACTTTTTTACATTTCTAAACACGGTTAGTTAATTGAGGCCTTCGGCCAACTGATGTCACGGGAGGAGATCGAATTTGGCGCTGAGGCGCTGGCTGGGCTCCATGTGGCAGGAATGATGCTCTTTATGCTGCACCACAACGATTTGGCCAGCACTCAAGTGCAGCGCACGCTGTTCATGCAGCGCTGCTTTGATTATATGGCTTGCACTGAGGAGACGCACGTAGGCGACGATGATTAATAACAGTAACTATTAACCGCTAGCTAACTAACGGACATTCTACCCAATTCTGGCAGGTGCATGATCTGTGCACACAGATCCTCTTGCTGTGGGATGTGAATCAATCGGACAATATGCTAAACCTGATCCTGTGCTGCCGCTACGCCAGCCCCCTGGGCACCATGGCCCAAATCGTCGGCAGCTGCCTGCTCTGGGCTATGCTCGATAAGCTGACGGATCTGGGCTTCGATGAGTATCGTCTGCGTCCCTATCCGGAATTGATGATGGCCATCGCTATGGTCAATCCGTTGGTCTATTTGCAGAACTATTTGCATTCGCTCAATTTGATTGTGCGCGTGATTGCTGCACTGCTGATTGCCGGGCCGTACGGCTCCACTGAGAAGTTACGCAACGAGGTGGGCGTACCGGAGCATGTGCTCGAGTTTCCCAATGCCGATGCGGCTGTACTATTTCGTTGGCTTAACACCATTATCGAGGAGCTGCGCGACGAGCTCCAAGTGCGCGACGGCCACGTCCAGGAGCGCATGATCATACTGGAGGCCTCATGCGAGCTACTCAAGCTGGTCCATGCTCATCTGGCTGATTATTATCAGAGCCTGTATAGCATTGCCGACTTCGAGGACGATGGCTTCGTATCGGACCAGCAGTGCGACAACGATACCGATTTCGAATGGCTACTATAACGGTGCTTTATTGGACTATATGTATGTATATGCGCAGCAGGTTCATTGCCTCAAATATGATAATCAATTTTATGAATATGAGGTTATGCACAAATATGAAAAATCTATCAAGAAACAATAGAATGTAATAATTTATTCACTTAACAAATTATTGATCAATAATTAAAGCATACGCGTTTATATTTCAGATGCAAAATATTAATGAAAATTTTCAGAAAACGTCTTTGAGGTTATGCGCGAATGGGTCGTTACTTTTATGTAAAATGTTACAGATAAGTGTATAATAGCTCACCTTTTATCTCTATATAGTTTCCACTGAGATTCACCTAAATATTACTTCAATATTTTAGTGATATACCGATTTTTTTGCTTTGGCTGTTGTATTACGACTTGGAGAAAAATTTTTTTAGAACTGAAAATGTCGAACGCCTTTCCTGTAATGCTGACCGGAAATGAGATTTCTTTCTCCTCAACTGTCGCTTTCCGTTCAGTGTTGAGTAGCAGCGCGCGCAGCTTACAAAGTAAACGGTAACACAGAAAAGCTGCACGAAACAAACTGGAATCGAATGGAACGGCAGATGTAATGATGTAAAACTCCGCTTACATTTGCTATCCTTTTCTGCGCAGTGTTGAGCAGCGCGCGCAACTATCGAAATCAATGGTTCTATAGGTGACCTGTGCGGAACAAACTGGAATGGAACGGTAGGTAGTGTCTCGCTCTTATACGCTATCCTTTTCTGCGCAGTGTTGAGCAGCGTGCGCAGCTAACGAAATCAACGGTTCTGTAGCTATGCTGAGCGGAACAAACTGGAATGGAACGGTAGGTAAGGCTTCGCTCTTATTCGCTATCCTTTTCTGTGCAGTGTTGAGCAGCGTGCGCAGCTAACGAAATCAACGGYTCTRTAGCTGYRCTGAGYGGAACAAACTGGAATGGAACGGTAGGTAAGGCTTCGCYCTTATTCGCTRTCCTTTTCTGTGCAGTGTTGAGCAGCGTGCGCAGCTAACGAAATCAACGGCTCTGTAGCTGYRCTGAGYGGAACAAACTGGAATGGAACGGTAGGTAAGGCTTCGCCCTTATTCGCTGTCCTTTTCTGTGCAGTGTTGAGCAGCGTGCGCAGCTAACGGAATCAACGGCTTTATAGCTGTGCTGAGCGGAATAAACTGGAATGAAACGACAGATAAAGCTTCATTGTCATTTGCTATCCTCTTCTGCGCAGTGTTAGGCAGCGTGCGCAGCTATCAAACTGAAATGGAATGGGTGGAAAATTGGGTTTCTCTACTAAGGCAAAAGCTGATTGAATTTATTTTTAAGTAGCACCTACAGCAGATATGTTTGGAATTGGTTTGGGTTGCTACAAATGCGTATTTCGCTTATGGCTAATAGTTGACACAGCTCACTCGTCGAGCACGCTGTCCAGCCATTGCTCGACATCGTTTTTGCTAGTGTTCGTCGTCGGCGTCGCAGGCTGCACCACCGGCGAGGCAATTGGCAGTGTTGGGGCCTTGGCAATGGAGGCCTGAGCCAGCTGTGCATCGGTTATCGCCAGCAGCTCGTCCAGCTCGTCTGGTGCAGCTGGTTGGGCAGACTTTGTGGATATGGCCGAGGTGGCACGGGACTTGCTAGCATTCAATTCCTTTAACAAAAGCTCTTGGTAGATGCGCTCGGCTCGCTCAGCTGCTTCGTTTTGGGCAATAATCTGGGATCGCGTAAACATCGCTGGGGAATAGTCCATGCGCTTGTAGAAGGGAATTGTTTGCAGGCCGCAGTTCAGTAGACTGAGATTGAGTGTGAAGTAGCCGCTGGCGGCTTTGGTGTGCATCTGGGTCTGTCCCTCTGCTATGTTGCTCCATTCCTTTTCGACGCCAAAGGTGAAGTGGCCACCGCCCATGCTGGGGAACTGCGACATCTGCTTGTAGTCGCCGGCGCGCAGCTGAGCGCGTGCATTCTCATCGATGGGAGCGCCGTCAACGAGATGGTCCACATCCTCCGAGTCCGACGGCGGCAGCGTATCCAGCATATCGCGATTCTTTTGCGGTGCCAACGAGCGAGTGCCACTCGACCAGCCTTTGCGACCGAAACGCGGCTCATCACTTGAGTCTGCCACATCCACTATGCTTCGGACTGTTGTCGCCTTTGGCGAGCTGGAGGACGTATTGTTGCCGCCTCGATGCGATTGCTGCTGCTGCTGTTGCTTATGATAATATTTATGCTGCTTCATATTCTTCCGATTGCTGAAGGGAATATATTAATGATTTTGTATTACTCGCGCTTGCGATTACGTAGGCGTATGTCTTACTCCCTCGATCGATTGTCCTTTTCGCTCATTTTGGCCTTGTACGCAATGACAATGTAATTTGTGATTTGTTTACGTTTTCCTTCAGTACTTTGTTGCTGTGGCAGCGCGAACAGCTGTGCCGGTAGCTTTTCTTTGCGAATGTGCAAAACACAGCTGTTAGCGGTAACAAACGTTAGCAACTATCGGCTAATCGATGGAGGTAATTATGCTTATTTCAAACGTTTAAGACTCAAACAAAAATACTACACGAGCATATAGTAAATTCAATAAACGTTTTAGTATATCGCGTTTTATATTATTACTTTACAAATATTCAATACAATTGTAAGCTCTTTTCAAAGTTTGCCGCATCTTTTTTAATCGCTGATACGATTTGACAACTATCGTTTTTGATTAATCGATACGATTTACAAAGTAATTTATTAATTTGCTTCGAAAGAATTACGAATTATAACGGTTGACAAATAATGCTATGACTGCTTTATTTATATATGTATATATATGAATAACTAAAGTAAATATTTTTTGCCACAGTACGGCACAGAAAATATATGGTATCAGTGTTTCAAATTTGCCGCCACCTTTTCATTCAAAGCACATTGCTGTGCTTTGCCTGCTTGAAATCAAATCGATAGCTGTGCACGAATCACGACAGACGTAAATCGATTAAGTCGGTAATATTAAATTCGTCCAACAACGGCAACAGCTTTTGCTAAATTTCTGTGATAATTGAGTGGCGATACGGGCACAGACGCCATTTGGTTGCCCTTGGAACAGATGTTGCGCCTCGTACAGGGCCTGCGCCTTAGCAGTAATTCAAACTCGAATGAGTTGTCAACTAAGGCTGCTGAGATTTATCGAGAATGTTTCGCTGAGCTGGCTGCCAGCTCTTGCCCGCTCACTCAACACAAATGCAATTCCAATAGCAATGGGCAGCATTCCACGCTGCTGCAATGCTTCGATGCAAAGCCCAGCAACCAGACGGAGAGTATAGCACCCAGCCCCGACGATGTCTGGATCTTTGGCTATGGCTCGCTAGTGTGGAAAGCGGATTTTCCGTACATAGACCGACGACGCGGGTTCGTCTGTGGCTACAAACGAAGATTCTATCAGCACAGCATTGATCATCGTGGCATACCCGAGAGGCCGGGCCGCGTGGTAACCCTGCTGCCTGGCGACTTAACCCAGGACAGAGTCTACGGCGTCGCCTATCGCATTGCCGCTGCTCAAAAGTCTCAGGTGCTGGATCATCTGGATTACCGCGAGAAGAATGGCTACGAACGCTACAACCTAGAATTCCATGAATATCCATCCACAACGATGCCCATTGAGGTAATCATATACGTGGCCACCCAGTCGAACGACTCCTATGCGGGACATGTGTGGCAGGTACCGTGCATAGCAAGGCAAATCTTTACCTCGGCCGGTCCCAGCGGCCCCAATCGCGAGTATCTATTCAATTTGTTCATAGCGATGCAGGAACTCTTTCCGGACGTCGTTGACGAGCACCTCACCGAGCTGGTAGACTGTGTGAAGCAGTATATTAAGAACGAGGAGCCAGCGCTGCTGGAGCAAGCTCTCAAAGCACAAATCAATTGTATATTAAGTGAATTCCTGGCCAAAGATGCGAGTGAGCAGCAGCAGGAGGCAATTGCTCAGCGCTTGGAGGCTTTACTCGAACGTTGCCAACGACCGGGCTGGCGCGAAGAGTTGCTCATTCAGGAATTGCAGGAACGGACCATTTGACCAAGCTCTTCCGCCCCTCCCTTTGATACCCTTTTGATTTCCATGTTTCTTATAGATTCAATTCATCCGTGTACATGATTTTTAAGATAAATATCAATACATTCATACATATATCAATATACATATACATACATATAATAATATGAATGTTTGTATACATATTAAGCAAATCGAAACTATTTAATCGTCTTGGGTAATTGGGAAGTTTGTAATAAATTTCTACTGATAGAACATTATTTACAACCGTATCAAACATTTTGTTTATAATTTATAACAAGTTATCGATGTTTTGTTGTTGGCTTTAATAAGCCAGCAAACAACATGTACAACCTCAGCAATTCGATGAATCCTGTTCAGGTACGATAGTGTAATTTCACACAATTATCGATTAAATTTTGCTTGAAACTGGTATTTGTCTCGTCAGGCAACACAATATTCTAGCTGAATTGATTGTTAAATCATTTTCAACGAACTAGCGTGAGGAGCTTAATATTCATTTTGCCGTAGATAATCTGTGTAATTGAAGTTAACATAAAAAACAACGCCATAAACTAGGTAAGATTGAGAGCTCCAATTGTTGCAAGCACAGCAAATTTAAAAGCGCGGAGGGGCTCTTAGCGCAGCCAGCTTCACGCAACGGCTGCTTGCATGCCGAGATATTTGATATATTCGATATTTTTTAAATGCAGCGCTGAAACTATATCTTATTTCGAAATATATTGCAAGATACGAGATGAACGCCGTGAGTACCAAATAAATACAATATTTAAAAATTAAATATAATGTATTAACTCATTTACATTTACAGGAGATAAAAGCCAAAGTGGAAGCATGCTGTCGCACAGCGGAAGATTTTACGCGATTGTACTACGCTTCCTTCGATAATCGCCGACATGTACGCAAGCGAGCCGGCAAATGCAATATTTACAATAGCATAAAGTATAAACAGAATGATTGCAGTTACTCTATTTGTTTACTTTTAGCAAATGGGTCGATTATACATAGACACTGCCACGTTTAGCTGGAACGGCAATGGAGCTCAGGGCCGCGAGACGATCGAGCGTTATTTCCTGGAGCTGCCCTCGTCGCGTCATCAGCTGACCACGCTCGATTCGCAGCCAATTCTAGATCCAGCTGTCGGCGGCCAGACGACCTACATAATACTGGCCAGCGGCACAGTTAAATATGCCGAACAATCCATGCGCACGTTTCAGCAATCATTTGTAATTACCGCCGAGAATGATAAATGGAAAATTGCCTCCGATTGTTATCGACTGCAGGAGCCGCTTAATTAGTTAGTAAATTACAGTTACATTGTTAATATAGAGACTAAGAATGAACAAGAGAAAGTGGAGCCAGGGCAGTTTGATGAGTTGGGAGGGCAAACAGCCTTTAAATTTAGTAAATAAATTTAAATATAAAATGTAAACTTTAAGTAAATAAATATATATTTTTATACATGTATGTACATACATATGCATATTTACTATATGTAAGAGTGGAAATTGTTTAAAGGACTCTCGTTGCCCTCCAAGAAGAGTGTCAACTACGCATGTATGTATCTGGTTTACTCGTCAAAACACAATTAAAATAGTACAAAGAGCATTAAGCTATATTTAAACTAATATTAAGTTAGCTGCATATGCATGTGTGTAAATGTAATAGACATGTATGCACTTGTGCCAGAGAAAGAGAGAGAGAGAGAGAGAGACAGAGAGAGCTTCGTTTTGAGCCGAGCCGTCGTACCTTTCGCTGTTGACCCCTTTTAGCTCGTTCGCCCAGCGCTGTGTCCACGCACTCGCGTCACAACAATCGTCCAGCCCGCACGTGCGGCCAGTGGCTGCTGCTCGAATTGGCCTCGCTCGAATATTAGCTGGCAGCAAAAGTTGTTAAACAAAAAAGCAAGCAAAAAGGAATATATATTTAGACGTTGATAATTGGCAGAGTTGAGCGAATTATTAATTGGCTGGCAACTAGGGCCTGGGCCATTGCAACAAGTTGTGCGAGGTTGAGTTTAACCTTGGCCTAGTTGTCCGGCTGTGTGTGCGTGTGTGTGGGCGGGCGCACAGCAACAGCCAAGGCAAATGATTGGGGAGCTCGGCGGCCCCATTGGCATGCCCACAGCAAGTGCGTTAAATGCAGCTGCCAGCGCAACGCCAGCAACAGCACCAGCAGCAGGCGTCATCATTGTCAGCAGCAGCAGCGGCGGCGCCGGAAGCAGCAGCACTGGCCCAAACACAGCCACTGCCAATACCCATCACTATCAGCAGCAACAGCAACAGCAACAGCAACAGCAACAGCAGCAGCAGCACCAACAGCAGCAGCAACATAAGCATCTTCAGCAGCAGCAGCAGCAGCAATATCATCAACTGACCAACAACATGAGCATGCTGAATGTGAAGGGTGGCGGACGCTATCTCTGGACGGATCGTGAGTTACTGATGCATCTGCAGAACTATACGCCGCTCATCTTGCTAATCGATTTTGTGGAGAAGACACGCACCAAGCGCTTCTACGAGAGCTCCGAGCGCTATGAGATCCTGATGCTGGTCTTCATCATGCGCAAGGGAGCGCCGTTCTGCGAGAACAAACGCTTTCCGGCGGAGTATTGGGTAAACTTGTCGGTCGGTCCGGTAGCCGAGGCGTTTGATCGACTGCAGGCGGCCATCGATATACCGGACCCACAGCTGCCCATCCACATGAGCGTCACGGACCTGACCACCTGGAAGGAGATGTTCGATGGGGCGATGATTGACATACGACGTTTCGCCTATTATACGGATCCCATGCAGCTGGCCGATGTGGGCGTCTATAATCGCATTACGTTCGAGCAGCGTTTCGCCATGCAGTGGCAGGAATAGATGACCTTGACCCACGACACACAAACAACCCCCCAGCCGCCCCTCCCTCTGCCCCACACTTCTTTGCTCGTGTAGTTGAGCTAGAAAGACGTTTGCCAAAGTGAAATGAATCAACAAATAAGTAATTGATTTACTACAGTATATTAGAGTCGAACAAAGCAACCATATACCGTTAGAGTTGCTTTGCTGTTAAGGTTAGATTTTCATTTTCATTTATCTAATAACGATAATTAGAAAAGTTAGCTATTTTTAGCAAGCCTTTACAGTTATTTGACTCGTTTGTGTTTTTCTCTCAGCGCAAAATTTGCATTAAGGCTAGGCTTTATTTTAGTTGAGGTTAGGTTTACAAAAACGCTTATTTAAGGGAATATATTATTATATATATTGACGAGATCTATATCTTTTGCACTTTTATGCATATCAATTGTAAATGGCAATTCGGCGATTCGTTTAGCAATCAATATATCATAAATATGAAAATATATATATACGTATATACAATATATATCTATATACATATATGTAGAAACATTACAGTACCTGCACACACATACACACCTATATATAAATATAGATATAGAACCTGGTTAGTTATTGGTTTACGGCTAGCGGAATTTATATACTGTGCCTTCTCCTCCAGCCGCATCACACAGAACTCTCTCCCTCTCACTGTCTCACTCGAACTCTATCTGTCTCTGTTTCTGCCTCACACACGGAAATCTAAATTCTATTCCTTAATTTAGTTGCCTATAAATTTATATTGATGATAGATAAATTACTACGCTGCTTTAATGGAAATAAATGTTATTTATTGTTGACTAGCATAAATGCATAGCACGCGCATATAACTGTACAATTTATGACATCAGGAAAAATATGAATATATGAATAATTATGTATGTATATAGTTGTAAAAATTGAATTTGTAAGTCAGTCGTAATCAATTGCGCAGGGCTTTCGCTTTGGTCAGCCGGTCGCGATCGAAGATGCCCAGCAATTTACCACGCGTCATTTCCTTGGACTCTCGTAATCCTAATCTATAGATTTGATCGTGCATTGCTTTAATCTTCTCCACCAGCTGTTCGGGCGGCAGACGGGCGAATTCTGCAATGATTAATCGAAATTATTCATGTCCCAATTTAATTGTCCGCTATACTGACGGTTAATGGCAGCCATATTGACTTTGGTGGGGATTTGGCTACAGTCAACGCTTGGTCTGTGGATTGGTGTATCACTCATAGTTACAAACTCTTCCATGCCGGGAACTGCAATGCATTGCAACTCATGGCAATTAGATGTGGGTTTCTCTGAATTGACGTGTTACTTACAGCGTTCTGGCCATTGTACCGGCGATTCACGCAGGGTTTCCAGCGAAATTAATTCATCCACTTTGGCGGTTCCTTTCGCGTCCTCACTCGTTTGATGTTTTTCTGCTTCAATTAACACTTAACTAGTTAATTCAAACCTAGCGTAGTCTTTATTTACATGGCTCACCTGGTGTTGACACATCCGAATCTGCTTTTGATTTACCAGTCATTATTATTATTGAGTAATACAATTTACGAATTGTCAATAAACATCAATTGCACAAAAAGGTAAACAAAATTTGCCGTCAACACTCAACTAGCGTTGCCACCCTTAAAATAATTCTATACCTATGCGATATATCGATAATTATATATAGCATTACTGCATATTGTTATACAATATTATCGTTTTAATAAATAATTTCATTAGCTCAGTGTCTCATGAATAATACACAAAACTCCAATTGATTTTAAGACAATTTCATTATTATTTAAAAATTTTATTTTTCAGCCGATTTGTCTAAAATAAAGACTAAAACTATATACATAAGCTTTCCTTCGTGAGAGTATTGCGTGCTCGCTCTGGCTCATTGAGTTAGCTAACCTGACATCTGTCATTACTCAGTTTAAAGTGCCCGCTAAAAAGCTGCGTACAAAAAATAAATTGTCAATTTCAATATAAAAATCATAGTGTTCAATCATAAAAAATTAATGTAGCTGTTGAAGTTGTAGAAAACTTTCTAAAAAACCAACTAAAATGTGTTTAAGGGTGAACAGTTGGGCTAAAACATGAGCTTGGAACAGCTGATCTGACTCAAAGTCAAAATTTCTGCACATTTACTTACATTGCTGACTGTGAAATCGTGCGTGTGAGCACTTTCTTTCAGTCATTGCTTTGCTCTTACTTTGGTTACATTTACCTGTTCCCTTATTTAACTTTAGAGCAACGTTTGTTTTCAATTTAGTTGCTGTTTAACTAACGGAACGTGTGCAACTACCTCGCAAAGACAATTTCGACAGTTACCACTTTTATTCGAGTGGCGCCAAAATTGAAATAGATTAATTATTTGTACATACACAAACATATGCAATTAATTGTTATAAAGCTCTTATGATATATGTGCAACCAACTACTACTTCCCATAGACGCACCCTACCCCCTAATAAGAATCAAGTTCTCCAATCAACAGTGCGTGGCAATAACTCATGGCCGCTAGCAAATTTTCAACAGCGACGTCGTTAACAACGGGCCTCAAGCACACAACACCGTTCGATGGCATTTGTGCGAAAATCTCAGCGTTCTACTTCGACTTAGATAACACGCTAATCCCAACGCGGGCCGGTGATTCCAAAGCAATACGCAAGGTACGATATCTTACTGTTAACTTCGTGGGTGAAAGTTCGCGCGCACCACCAAACGCACGCACACACACACACACACTTCCATCGACATTTACGAAAATTTTCCACTGCAACCGCTCGTTACGTATGTATATTTATTGTTGTGTGCGCCTGTGTGAGTGAGTGTGTGTGTAGGCAAAAAGCACGCGCGTGCATTTAGCCGTTTGTACGTGTGCGTGAGCATGTGCATGTGCATATTTGATCAATGCATGCATGTCTTTCTCTAGAGGTCAAAGTCATAAGAGACCCAAAATAAACAGCCGCACATCTTCAATGGCCGAATGACACTTGTTAGTTTTGCCATTTACCGCTTAACGAATCCCCCTCAATTCGTTCACGCATGAAGTGATACAATTGTGTGAGTGTGTTTTGTTATTGTGTTGTTCTATTTGTTTGTACGCAGTTTGTTTATTATTATTATTGTTATTATTTTATTTGTTGTTGACATAAGCTAATAACCGGAACCTAAGTCAGTGCAAATGTTCTGCTTTCGGGCGTAATTAATATTAATTTAATACAGGAAGCCAGTTGATTACTAACTGCCTTTTGTATAATACAGAAATGATTAAAAGCGTCATTTGCGTTTTAAACAAACAAATGTGTTCTATGTGCACGAAATGTATATGATGAATAAATAATTGATTTCTTTCGAAATCTGTGGCTGTGAATATGTTTAATCAAGCCTGGGTATTATTATCATTGTTATTATTTTATATTTTTACAAATGGTGGAAAACCCGGAATAACAATTTTGTTGTTTTCATTCTTGTAATAAATACATATAATAAATTCTGAATACCATTTAAAGCAA